CCGAGGTTCTCCAACGCGTGGCAGCGATGGCAAACAAACGGTTTGTTTTGATCCTTGTAAAAGGCGTCAAATTCCTCCTGCGTCATAAAGTCCAACCACTCCTCCCCGACTCGGCGACCATGCTTTTGCCAGTGGGCCTGCAGTTCTGACATACGATCCGCATACTCTGCCCGGGCCTTCATCTTGGCCTGTCGGTCCAAGATGTACCTCTCAATGTCCCCGCGGCGCACATATCCAAACACGTTCTCATCCTTGTCCTGCAAGAGCGCTCCACAGCCCTTGCAGCAATCGCGGTTCACGACAGGAATGTGGAAGGATGATGGCAGATCCATCACGATGGAGCTCTTGTTCTCCAGCACTCCCTGCATGGCGGCTGTGGAATCTTGGTCCAGCACATGCATCCCCTCCCATTCCATAAATTTCCGCTCAAACCGCTCGCCAGCAATCTCCAATTGGTGTTCAATCGCAAACTTGTCCTTTTCGTAGCTATCCAAGAGCACACCGTATTTCATCTTGTCTCTGAGTGTGTCGTACTTTTGACGCAAAACCGCTGCGCTTTTCTTCAACTCTGGTTGCGTTTCACTTGCTTTCGCTTTGCCATCGGCTCCGGGGTCAAGTGGCGCCAACTCCGAATCCACCTCCACGACGTCTTCCGTCCAACCCATAATTTTGTGAAACAACTGGTTGATGTGACGGGGAAGAAGAATGGACTCCGCCGCCTCACGCCGGCTCCGACGGAACTGCTGAAGGTGCAGGGGGACCGGGCCCTCCTTGTACGTCTTCACATCCTCAACCTTCAGCTCCAGTGCCTTCCCAAACGGAAGTTTCGCGACTGGAGGTGTTGAAGTCACCGTCGCCACGCCAGAATCTCCTTCTTGTTCGACTGGTAGCATGCTATTGGAGGCCATTGTATCATAGTTGGCTTCTGGCAGCGCTGCCGTAGTGAAATCCCCAGCAGAATTAACCCGCACGTCGCGAATGCCAAGAGGTGGCCGCGTAGAAAGATCCCCGTGTACGTTGTTTTCGGTGCTTGGCGAGACCTCGATCTGCCCGCCAGAAACCACGTGACGGTCGCGCCACGGCTTCGACGCCCGCGGTGACCGCAACTTCCTTGAGAATTCCCTGCTGCTGTAGCCAAGCGGTGGCACTCGTTTCTTGGCAAACAGACGACCGCAGTGCAGCATCCAAGACTTCTTCGTTAGATTCTTCTCCTTTTTTTTTTTTTCCTTCCCTCTGTGTGCTGTGTTCACTCTCCCTTTGGGTTTGCCTTTTGTTTTCCTCCCAGCCCGTGTTTGAGCGGGCAACTATATACACGCTTGTGTGGTCTTGCGTCTGCGAGGTCCCTCTCCCCCCCAACCTGCAGAGGATGACAAAAGGGGCAGAAGTACAGAAACAGCGGGGGAGTCTTGAGAAATCATAAAAAGCCAACGGTAACAAAAAAAAAAAAATAACAAAAAAGACGATTTTCTGAGCGTGTGCCAAAAATAAAAAATAAAAGCCACTCGGTAATAATTTTTTTTGTAAGCCGAGGCCCTTCTTTTTTTTGTTGTTTATTTGTTTGTGTATTCGCTGCAAGGGGAGGTGGGTCTTCGTCGCTTCTCCCTCCCCTCCTCTTTTTTTATTATCCCTTTTTTCCTCCTCGTCCTCCTGAAGACTGCTCCTACTGGCGTTGGCGTTGTCTTGCGTTCATCTCAGCCACGTACGTCTCGGCCGCCTCGCGCAGCTGCGCCTCCTCCTTCTTCAGCTGCTCCGTCACGCGTTGTTTTTCGTTCGAGAGACGTGTTCCCTCCGCCTCGCAGCTCTCAGCCTGCGCCGTCTGCTTCTCTATCAAGGCGTTCACCGGCGTGCGCAAAAACACACGGCCGACGCTTTCGTACACGCAGTGATCTGCGGAGAGACGTGTCAACTCATTCGTGGAGATGTCAAGTCGTCGTTTGTTGCTCATCAGCGCTACCTGCCGGTTTGCCATGACTCTCACCGTCTCCCTCAACATATTCACCCGCTGCTGTGCCTCGACCAGCGCCTTCTCCCTCTCCATCCGCTCTGCCTCCACAAGCGCAGCCATTTTGAATCCCTTTCCTTCTCTCCGTCTCCGTGTGGTTCAACGCCCTCCTTCTTTTTGCTTTTGTTTTTTCCTTCCTTTTTTTTTCCGTATTGCCGATTTGGCCCCCCGCTGCCAGGGCACAAGAGCACACGTGCAGACACATGTGTCGACACACACGCAAGACGGGAGTGGGGAGTCAAACAGAAGAAAAATAATAATAATAATAATAACGAAGGCAAGAAAAGAATATGTCTATGTGTGCATTATTGCCAAGAAGGCAATTGCCACAGCACACATGAGACGCAAGAGGGAAAGGAATGGAGCAAACACAAGCCATAATTTGTTGCAGCACATCTTACATGCAACACAAGAGGGGGAAAAAAAAAAAAAAAAGAAGAAAAGGAAAAAAAAGGAAAAAAAAAATCCAGAGCTCACAAGAATCAGGTAACGCCACACAAACACACACGCAGGGATAAGTATGGATACAGGTAAATAGATATACAGATATACAGATATATATATATATGAATATAGACAGATAGAAGTATTTCCTTATATTTGATCTCGCAATTTACCGCAATGCCGTACAAAAACGAACAAAAACATACGGTCCAGAGAAGGTACCCATGTACCCATCGTTGACGTACATCTAAAATAACAATAACAATAATAATAATAATAATAAAGAACTTACTCAGAGAAGAAAAGTAAATGGTAAACAAAAATAAAAATTAAAAAAAGAAAAAAAAGCATAAAGCACGACAATGATACATCCGTTTGGACGCATATGAAAAGGTGTAAAAAAAAACATTTCCAGTGAAGTCTTAAAGTCCCTTCCTTCTCTTCACTCCCCCCTGTGTGTGCGTGCGTGCGTGCTCAGGTCTGGTTTTCTTCTCTGGTACCGCTGCCGCTGCTGTTGATTAAAAGCACATGACTCCCACGTTCAATCATCGACCTCGTCCCCGGCGGAGTGTTCTGGCAGAATAACACGAAGTTGTAAAATGCGTCGGTGAAATATATATATATAAAGATCGGGCTAAAATATGAAATAAAACCGACATGCCAGGGACCCCATCAGCACCACCAGCAGCCTCTCCAAAGTGAGTTGTATCTAAATGAGAAATGCGATACATTTTTCTTGACATATACTTTTTGTTGTTGTTGTTGTTTTACTCTACTTTTATACTATTACTCCATCACTCTTTCTCTCTGATTATCCCTAATTTTTGTTTCCGTAAAAGCTTTTTTCTTCGTTTTAGCATTAATCAAAAGTGTTTCCCGGCATACGCTTCTTGTTGTTTTTCTCCTTTTTTATTTGTTTCTCTGACCCGACGGGGAGCGGTGAATTGGGGGTGGTGAGCACCCCAGATTTTAATCCCTCACCCCACTCGTCGCATCCCGTTGTTTCGCCGCCGTCGCCGTTGTGCTCATCGCTTCTTGCCCTCGCTGACCATGAACTGCGGGAGAGTCACCTTGGAAAGGCTGGACGAACTGAGCCTCTGCACACCAGGTGGGCGGCTGAGAGAAGGTGTGTGTCTTTGCTTAGAGACCGGCAGCGAAGGTGTTCCACACGAACCAGTGCCTGATTGCGTGTTCGCAGGCCCATCCACAATAAAAGCGGCCACTGCCTTCGGCACATCGTTGTCCTTCGCTCCTGTCGAGTTGTTTGGTGCCACGTCAGTGTTCTCTGGTTCACTGGTACCGCTGGAACGCCGCGGGAAATTCTTCCCCCTCTTGGGGGAAGAGGTGAAAGAGGAGGCGAGTTGCGCCAGATACGCGTCTCCGGACTGCCTGCCCGCAGTACGGTTGGCTTGTGGAGGGGAACCCGGTCCGGCGATTTTTTGCTTTTCTTGCCGCCGTTTTGTAATATCCACCCCGATGCTTTTGGCCGCGCTGGTTCCCTTTTTTCGTGCCAATTGAGGGGGTTTCGTGTCTTGCAACACAAGGTCAGTTAGTTGAGTGATCTGCTGCAAATCCGCCTCAACGGCCTCGGCTACTTTCGTTTCATATCGTGGATCCTCCACAAAGACATCGGTTGCGGCAAGGGAGAGTTCCTCAAACGCATCATTTGGCTTCGTTTCATCCAGATGGCAATGTGCCCGGACTTTCTGAAGCGTGTTATGCAAGGCATCATGCAGAGTTATCAATTGTTGCAATGTAATCTTAACCTTTTCGTGTATCTCCCTCTTTTTTGGCCACGCGTGGGAGGCGGCGATGGATGACTCCGCATCAAATGAGGCGGACTTGCGTCGCTGCGCATCGAGCCTCATCTCAAGGCTAGTCATCCGCACATCCATTGGAGGCGCACTGTACACACTGCACCCGACGTCACGCCTCGAAACGGTGGGCTTCACGGTAACCCGAGACTCATTTTCCAATAACTGGGTCACAGAGGAGTTCACCACCTCGACCAGTTGGTACAGCAATTCACGGTGTGACTTTTGTAATTTCTCCATTGCCACCTCAAAAGCCTTTTTGGGACCAAACATAACGGGTGCCGAGGAATTGCCGCTGCCTTGAAGAGACTCGAGTACCACATTATACATGTTACACAGTCCCACGTCCTGCGTTCGTTTGAGGCGATGGCTCAACCAAAAAAGACCCTCACGGAGGCCCCTCAATGGCTCCTTGTACGCCGACCTCTGGATCCGCGCGTCGATGTAATCATCCTTCGCCGTGACGTGAGAAAAGGGCAGCTGAAACTGAAAATGTAAAAAATCCCTCACGGCACCGGTTGGCGCCAGCTGAGAAACCGACAAGCTGTTAGAAAGTCGCGGCAATGTTGACGTGCTCAGCAACGAAATGGAATTGAAGTGCTGGATGTTGGCAAGACTGGACGCCAATTCATCCTGCGGGGTCTCCACAAATTTGTCCTCCATTAACATTAGTTTTCTCTCTACATCCTCTGACCGTCGTTCGTGCAACTCTCGTGCGCGATCGTAGCGACGCTTGTACTTTATCGCAGACATTTTGTCGCGAAAGGCCTCTTCAAAGCGCCGATCCGGCACCAGGAGGAGGAGGTTTTCCTTCTCAACTGGCAATGCACGCAAAAACCGGCGCATGCGCATCTGCTCCTCCGTTGCGGCCGCCAAGGCCAATTCCATATCGCGCGTCTTCTTCTGGGCCTCCCTGGCTTGCCGTTGTGCCTTCCGCAGTTCCCGCTGCGACTCGGCGATCTGCGCGCGCAGATGCTTTCGTTCTTTGCCCTCCTCTTCAAGTGCCTGCTGCATTTCCAGCGCCCTCTCACGGAAAAACCGGCGCTCGCTATCGACCCTGCGCAACAAATCGCGACACTCTTCAAGTTTGGTGTGGAAGGCGCCGACGGTAAGGCCAAAAGACTCGGAAACGGCGGAATTCGACGCCGCACGATCCTCCCGCCCAACAAGAAGCTCCTCCCCAAGAGACTGCGGGCCATTGAAGCCAGCGTCACTGAGGCGCCGCGCGTTGTTGAGAAGACTGTGGGAGCTCGCCAGGACACTCTCCACCGTGTCCTGCAGAGCGGTGTCCGCGGTTAGGTGCGGCGCCAAGGGCAATTTGTCGAAGATCATGTGGCAGAATAGGACAAAAATTACCTGCAGAAAAAAAAAAGTAAAAAAAAAAAAAAGAACGTCACTCTGCAGAAGGCACATTACATATCCCCCTCATGCTTGTTCATGCCTCCCTCCCCCATCCTTTTTTTTTTCTTTTTTAATAAGGGTGCAATAAAAGAGGCACCCAACATCAAAAGACCGGGTAGCCACACTTCATTCAAGGACGTTATTGGTCCCAAAAAGGACCGCCTTCCCTTCACACGTACAGACACACAAAATCCCCTCACTACCCTTTGCATCCAGACACAATGCAGTGCCATACTCATTCCAGGCAAAGCTGTGAGTCAACGCAGTGCATACATCTTTACTTTGAATAAGTCATCTGGCCACTCCTTTTGCATCGTCTCCTTCACAACCTCTACCCCCGCTGCGGCAAAGATTCGCTTGTAATGTGCATCCGATCGTGTTAAACTGCTGTCCTCCTTGTCGACGACAAATCGTTCATCACAACTACAGTTTTCCTTAAAGAAAATATAACCCCTCAAAGTAAGTGCTGTTTTGCAGTGAGCCAAGAACTTCACGAAATCGTCGTCTGTTAAATAAATTGCTGTCCACTGAATGACAATCAGATCATACGTATTTGGCTTTAGATTGACTGTCTCCATAGAAGAGAGAAAAAATTCTCCCACTGGATACCCTTTGAGTTCTTCTTTGGCCTTTTCAAGCATGTTGGCCACCGGCTCCAACAAATCTGTGACTGTATACAACGTGCTAAGTAAATATTTCGTGACACGACCAATACCGGCACCGCAATCCAATGCGCGGGAGGTGCCACGGTCGGGTATGGATGTGATAAATGCCCGAGACTCCTTGAGATCTACATCGTGGATGTGTTCCATACCGCCCAGCACACCACTTACTGTCGCCGGCACTTTTGACCAGTACTGCAGGGACCTTCCGTACCATCCGGTTTCAGCGTCGTACAAGTTCCCACGAAGCTCAGCTGCCCACATTTCCTCAGCGGATTTGTAGGTTTGACCATCCGTGTCACAGCCGGGAATGGGCGGCAGGTCATTCTTTAAAGCCTCTTTTTTTTCTCCTGACATTCCCACAATGACAAAATGTGGCGCTGCTTGCAAAACCCGTCGCGTCGTTAAAAATAAAATTGTCCTTTGAAAAAATAAAATAAAATAAATAAACAAATAAATCCGACAAACAAACGCACACACACAAAAAAAAAAAAAGAGGAATCATAATAATAATAAAGGAAATAAACCGTTTCCAATTTCCTCCAAGCAGCCATTGGAAAAGAATACATCACACAGCGGGTGGTCGCTACTGAAAAAAAAAGGAGTCACATTTTCTGGTTTCCCCTCCTTTTTCTCCCTTGTAAATCAAGCAGACATAACACCCACGCCTCGTCATCATATATGGGTTCGGGAAGGAGGGCAAAACAAATACAAGGGTTTCCTGTTGATTCGGTCGCCCATCAAACACGCGTTGCAAGGACGTTAATGCACAGTCCTACAAACGATCAAAGTCAAGCGCTCCACCCACCTCCTCAAGGTCTCGTGACACCGCAGCACACCACGCCAATAACAGAAAGAAGAGAATCATCCCTGGAACAACAAGAAACGCCACCGCCCCTCCGAGTGAGTCGTAAGCGGCGCAGATCCATGCCCCTGCAATGCCCAGAGCCAATACCGTGGGCATGACAGCAAAAGCCGAAAGAAAAAAAACGGACACGCCAACACCGCGTAAGCTGAAGTTTCCTTTACCACGCCTTATAAAGAAAAAGCATGACCCGGCAAGCAACACAAGGCCGTAAACAATAGTTGAAGCCATGGCGATATTCATTGCCGTCGCGCCTGTATCTGTCCCGGAGGTGTTTTCCATTGCGTCGGCCCCAACAGTCTATTCCTGTGATGTGTGTTTCCCTCTTCTTCCTTGATTTCCTGCCGTGGGGCAATTTTTACCTGGAGCTCATCTAAGAGGCGGAACGACAAGGACCGCCCCAGCACACAAGCCAATGAAAAGTGGGTAATGGGCAAGTGAAGGAACTCGCGCAAAAGGTATGGGCTGCAAAAAACGCAGAAAATCAGAAGATCAAAACCAAGCACACAAACAAAAAAAAAAGGAGAGAGATTACGTTTTATATATTTATTTGCATAAACATATATATATATTATTTTGTGTTTTCGAGTAGTATAGGGCTTCTTCCCTGCCTCCCCGTTCCGGCGTCTACCCGCCTGACGTCACAATCACTTTACGCGGCTTCGACAACTTGAAGTTCGGCAGTTGAAGAAGCGACAAAAGCCGATGTCGTCCCACAGCCGCCAGAGCCATTGATGTTACCGTGACGACAGC